CTAAAACCATCCTCCCGAGGTTATCTGTTGAGAATTCTGTTTTCTTAAGGAGAATGAGATAAAGCAGTCCATACATGTATGTGTGCTTGTTTTATAACACCTCAATCACTGATTCTGTTTGATTTAAGAGATAACTAGGGGTACATATACATGTATGTGTAGTTGTACATGTGAAAAGCAGCGTGCACCATAGTATGCATTGGTACATGTACCAGAGCCGATGGTCATGCATGGAGTTCTTTGGTTGCTATGGGTACACAGGTAGGTCTTTGCAGGGTTTTGCAGTTCCATCACCCATCCAGAACTTGTCTTATCTTTGTTTGAACTTTGCAGCAGCGAGTTGTTTCACAGTCAGCCCAAGCCCAGTTTTTTAGACATGGCCAAGGTCCGGTACGGTGGCAGCTTTCATGAATCTATGGTTGACGACGTCAAATCCCTCAAGAAGATTATCCTGGTGTTCTTAGGACTGACACCGTATTGGGTTGTCTACTTTCAGGTAGTATCATAGTTCCCAAATTCTCAAAGCCATAAATGATCAGAACCCATTTTGGGGTTTTTTGCTAAAGCTTGACAGGATTGCTTGATACTTGATACAAATGAATGAAGACTGTTGCATCTGTATTAATACTATTGGCTTATTCCGTCTCATCTCGTAGCCAAACAGGCTAAATTGCACAATGGATTACAATTACCAATTAAAAGCAAACACATTAAATTAAGTTACATGAATTGAAAATGTGAATTATAATACAAAGGGAAAACAACTGGGTAAAAATTGACGTTAAAAATTTCACACCAACCAATTTAGGCCACTAATTATCCAGTATGGTATTGGACTATCAGTTGTCAGATTACATATGTACAGGGTGTCCCAGAAAAAACCCAAACCCTGAGGAAAGGGGTCAATATGCCCAAACCACGAGATGTGATTATAATGTATAAGGATCTCTGAAAAGTAGAAGCAGTAATCTTTCTAATGATACCTTGATGGAATCCCTCCTGTCATGCATGACTGAACACCATTGTCTTGAAAATGGAGCATCCGAACTCAGTTGTAACACTTTGGATAAACCAATGAATGAGGTTGTCCTCTGTCATGCTTGCCCTGGTTGAAAGTGACAACAAAAGGTCATGTTAATGAGAGAAGATTGCCTTTTGTCACTTTCAAGTTATGCAATAATCTAGTTTAAATGTGTTGACTTGCCCCGAGATTGGTTGAAAAATGTTCAAAGCTGGACAGCAAGTCTGCAACATGGTGTAACTTTTAATACCAAAGAGCAAAGAGTGTTTGTTGTGATGAAATTTCTTGAAAACAAGAATTTTCAAGCCACACAAGCTGCATTTAGGGAAGCCTTCCCTGATAGGGATCCACTGGCAAAGTCAACCATCTGGGAAAATGTGCGCAAATACCGAGAACATGGGACAAGCCTTAATTTGAATAAGGGTCATTCAGGAGGGAGGCACACAGTGCGAACTCCTGAAAATGTTGCTGCAGTTTGACAAAAACTTGTTGAACTGCAAAGAGGAACCAATTGCAGGAAGAATGGACTTGGACTGTCCCATTCTTCATTTAACCACATAACGCAGTTAGACCTGCAGTTCCATCCATCATGTCCATACCAATGCACATCCACCACCAACTTTTGCGTGGAGACCTCAGGAGGAGACAGGAGTTTGCTCAATGGCTCCTGGAATGCTGTCAGGCCAATGAAAGGTTTCTTGAATAGTTACAATTGGTGGTGAAGCAGCATTTAGGATAAACGGAGAAGTTAACTCCCACAACAACGTTGAATACGCACCGAAGGGGCACCTGCCAAATTTTAACTTTGAAACCAACTTGAGTCGTGAGAAGGTCACCGTTTGGGTAGGACCGTGTGGGAATGGTGCCATTATCGGACCATTCTTTTTCGAACGGAATATGAATGGTCAACAGTACTTGCCGTGACGTGACACCCAACTTCAGATGCATTTTCAACGGCATGAAAATGGTGTTTTCTGACATCTGTGGTGGGCCCAAGATGGGGCACCCGCACACAGGCTCATTGCTGTGAGAAATCTCCTGCAGGAACTGTTCCGAGATCGAGTAATTGCTCTTAACCATCCAATTGATGATCCCGTTCTCCAGATCTCACCCTGTGTGATTATTTTTTATGGGATATCTGAAGGACATAGTTTTCACCAGTCCACCACGTAATATCCAAGACTTACGAGGTCGCATTCAACAGAAGGTCGACATCTTACGACATGACCCTGCGGTGAGACGAGCTGTGGCTGACATGTGCCGCCGTTGTGAACTCTGCATTGAAAGGGAAGGTGTCGGTACATAATTAACTGTGAATTACGTAATGTGTAGATAATCATCGTGCCCCTGATATTTTATCCAAGACAAGCATGACAGAGGACAACCTCATTCATTGGTTTATCTAAAGTGTTACAACTGAGTTCGGATACCCCATTTTCAAGACAATGGTGTTCAGTCATGCATGACAGGAGGGATACCATCAAGGTATCTTTAGCAAGAATACTGCTTCTACTTTTCGGAGATCCTTATACATTATAATCATATCTCATGGTTTGGGCATATTAACCCCTTTCCTCAGGGTTTTGTTTTTCTGGGACACCCTGTAGCACTGATCTGTTGAATGGTATAATGATCGGTAATGTACATGTAGCAGGGTGTAAGGGCCACATTGTCACTCTTTTTGCCTTCAACTTACACACTGGTTTAAAATAAACACTTGACATTGACTTTTAAAAACACATGTGAGTCATTCTATAAATTAGTGGTGCAAAAGTGTGACATTTTGGCGTCCCCTGTTATACCTGAACTGTGTAATTTGACATGGACGTACCACTGACACTGATTTCAAATAATTTCTAGTTGTTTGGCAGGTGGTTTGCATAAATTCATCACTCTTAAAAATTACAGAATGTGTTCTGAAATTATAAAATCATATGTCAGATGTGACAGGGATGTAAGAAAATCAGATTCCTAATGTAGAGAATTACCCATACATGTATTGATTAAATAAATGAAGAGAATACGAATTGCACTACACAGAGATGGAAGATATAACAAAAACTTACACTTGAAAAAATGGACATCCACCTACATAAGCCAACATTGGGGTTGTAAAAATCTGCTTTTTGAGCTCCATTGGTCATCAATGATTCGGCAAGATCTGAGAGACACACATGAACTATGGTTCCTGTTTTGAAGCTGGGAACCATTGGCTAAAATTACCAGACTTGCAGAGATTTGAGAACAGCCTCTTGATACAAACTTGCCTGTCTGTCATAAAGTGACTGTAGTCCCAATGAAATCAGAGCTTCACTGTAACAAGAGTACTTGTTGCCAAGAATTATTCGACAAATTCTCTTTGGAACAACCTGAATTTGATCAGTTTGATGTGATGTGACACTAGAATTCCAAACTACACGTACCATAGGGCTTCATATCCCATGATTTCTCTAATGTCACCTGTGTACACACACCAAATTCCTCAGTAGTAAGGCCACTTTTTTTAGTTTTCTGATCATTAACACTTTCTGATTAGTTGTAGAGACCATTTCATCAACATGGGGTTGCATGTCAAATTTTGTTGAAAGATGACCCACAAAAGCTTAATCTTTGCCACAAATTCTAAGCGGGAGTTACACATCAGGTGGATATACATGTATGTCTGTTGCCTGAATAAATCCCTGTTATCTGATTGTTAACTGCAAATAATGTGACATGAAAATTCAGACTAATTCATGACACACACTCACTATAAAACCAGCACAAATAGAATTGAGCATTACCTCATATTGGTGAGACAAAATAATAAGATAATTTTCTGGGAGGTTGCAGGAAGAGAATAACTTCTGCTCTTTCTTTTTATTTCAGATGCAGACAACATTTTTGCTTCAAGGACTCCATCTGCGTTTCAAAGTCAACTGTACTATCAAAAATTGCGAAGACACCAATAAAAGCTTCCAGGTATACATCGTACGGGAAATAGAAATTTTAAAACTTCCATTAACGCACTGATCTTGGCTTGAGCGATACCATGCATGTGCACTAAACATAGAGATCTACTGAGAGGTGGTCCAGTGAGCTGATTTTACCCTACATGTAGTAAAAAGCCCAAATTGCTTTATTTGTATGGTAGGCCATCAGCTGATGTTTTCTTTACTTTTGTAGGTCAGCGGTAAAAACCAAATCAAAAGTTCCAATTGTAGGGGTGCTAATTTTCTTGTTTTACAAGTAGAAAACATTCCGGTGACAAAAGGACTATTACAAGTTTATTCTGCTTCTGAAGCAAACCCAGTTTTTGCTAACCGTAAGGTTTGAATTTTGTATCACTCATAAGCTGGCCAATATATCTTTAACCATTTGCAAGAAAGGGTAATTGCGCTGGTGTAATTTTTGCAGCAGATTTCTTTGGACAGGAAGGTTTATCCAGCAATTTGAAAGTGATCTCTTCCATTTGATACATGAAGCAAACGGTTCAGACTGCATTTGAATGGATATCTCTCACAAATAGATGTGGCTATTTTGAAAATAAAAATGATGAAATCTCCGTCTTACCATCCTTCATTGTTTCAGATCCCCCCAGCCTGGCTAAGTCTCTTCGATGCCGCCTCTGTCCTTTTGCTTCTTCCATTCTTTGATCGCATCCTTTATCCTAAGCTTGACCGGCTAGGAGTCAACTTCACCCTGCTGAGGCGAATGATTGTGGGGATGATCTTCAGTATGTTGGCTATGGTTGCAGCCGGTGTCCTGGAAAATATCCGGTTGAATTGGGTCCATTCCAATAGGACAGTCGAGCAGACCATTGGAACCAAAGACACCTCAACTGTGTACTATGCAGCCGATATTTGGGTGTTCTGGCAGATTCCACAGTACACACTCATTGGTATAAGTGAAGTGCTAGCCAGTGTGGCAGGTAAGGAGAGCAAATCCTTGACTTCAGTCAAATTATCCCAAGTACCCAGTACTTTGTATGTTATGAGGCTTTGCATAGTGGATTTGGCAACAAGACAAAGGATTGCCGCACATGTAATGCCTGGTGAATCTCTTGTGAGTTAGTAAATTTATAAGAAGAAGACAGTCTGTTGATGAGCAGAGCAGAGCTGACTGACCAAGCAGGGCAGACTGACCTAACAGAGCAGACTGGCTGAGCAGAGCAGACTGACCAAACAGAGCAGACTGACCGAGCAGAGCAGACTGACTGAGCAGAGCAGACTGACTGAGCAGAGCTGACTGACCGAACAGAGCAGACTGACCGAGCAGAGCAGACTGACCGAGCAGAGCAGACTGACCGAGCAGAGCAGACTGACCAAGCAGAGCAGACTGACCAAGCAGAGCAGACTGTCCACAATTGATGCTGAGCCTACCTGTTTCTCTTTTTTCTACTACAAAAAGGGGTTTAAAGTGTTGTTGAGAGCAACAAGAATTTTCACAAATGGTTGTCCATGGACAACCAGAAAAATCTCGCATAAGTACAGTGTACAGTACTGATTTTTCTCCACTCATTGAAATTTTGTATCTCAGTTGATAAATACAGTTTGAAGAGAAATAAAAGCTGTCAATTCCTCGAACCACCTCACGAATTCAGCAAGGTTTTGCCTGAGTTTGCAATAAGCCGATGTGCGTGCATGTACATTATACCAACTGTACTATATGTACGGTAGTCCAGTTCCCTGACCTTGCCTGCAGATTCGCCAGCAATTCTTCAGGTCTGGGAACCAGACTAACCTGCATGTATGGAGAATTTGTGAAGAAGTACAACGATTTGATTTCTACATGTACAAACACTGTAGTGCGGGGCACTTGGAGAAAAGCGTGTCGCTGGCGGTCTACGTATTCAGCGGACACTTCATTCTCACTGCGTTCCCTATACTTCAATTCCAGTCTGTGATTTGTGTGTAGCAAACATGTGCAACAGCTAAGAATTCAACTACACATACATGTAATTATGACCATAACGACTTTATGTGTATGGGTTTTGCGCAGACTTTTTTTTCTCAGGGTTTTTTGCATTTACCCACCTATCTTTGTTACTTATTCTCTGATATTTGAACACATCACAATTTGACTAGAATATTGTGAATATTTAACGTTTAGTTTTTGTTAAAGTTTCACATGTACATGTATTTGCGTGTTCTTAAAAATTGAGAGACCACTTGAAGAATGCCCCCCATTCTTAAAATAGATGTATTCATCCGCACATGTATTTGTTTTGCGTGACAAAACTTTGCCTTTCACCCATTGGTTTAAAGTTATCATCTGGAATAGATTTAAACTATCAGAAACTTGGAAAATGGAGTGTATGATAATGTGGCCTTGTGTTTCTTAATAAATGGTGCAAATTTTTACCACATTAGCCTAATCAATATATACATGTACACTGTACGTATGAAGTCACACGTACATGTATGAATTAGTGGTCTTGTCAAATCTTTTCTGTTTGAGTGCAGTAGGATATTTTGTGGTTGAACACTGTTTCAATGTTTACTACAAAAATGACATCCATGGTTGAGCAAGGTTTAATCTGGGCTACCAAGCTGAAACACTGGGCAACCACTTTTCATAAAATCAGTTGCCAGGGGCAACCATGTTTGCGGAGATTTGTCAAGCACTGACTTTCAAGATTTGTATATTTTCTTCAGGTCTGGAATTTGCCTACTCCATGGCTCCTCGTTCCATGCAAGGGCTCATCATGGGTGTTTACTTCCTCTCATCTGGCATTTCAGCTTTCATCGGTAGCGCCATCTTAAAAGTCACTACCCTACCCGCTTTCAACTGGTTCCATCAAGGAGACTCGGGCAACATTAACAATGGCCATCTGGATCGCTACTTTTTCATGCTTGCCGGAGTTCAGCTTGCAGGATTAATCATATTTGCATCAGTTGCTATGTACCACGAGAGACAAGAGGCTAAACAAAGATCTGGGACGTCGGCTATCAACAGAAATCACCATGACGATAGGGTTGTGACTGGAAGCTAACACAAGAGGGCACTCTACAGTTATCCTTTAGAGTGTAGAAACAAGGCTTATCAGCAGTACAAGAATGTGATTTGGTCTGAGGCGCCTTTTGTACAGAAATTTATTACCGAGCAAAGATAAGCAGCCTTCCAACTTTTGCTGGTCAATGTTTGTAAACAAAAAGGTCAATTAGCCTTATTCAAGAATCAGCCATTTTGAATCAAACGCAAAGTTATCAGTCTGTATAAAAGAAATTAGTACATGTATGTCAAGGAGAATGGACGAGGAATTGTAGATTTGTGCTAGGAATGGGTGAAGCGAAGCTGAGCCTATTCTTAGCACGAATCTACAGTTCCTGAGTTCTATTCCCTGACTTAAACTATTTCCCATTGTTACATGAACATGGAGTCCCGAGTCCGTGACACTCTCGCTGTTAACATGACCCTTCGCCTGAGTGCACACCTTTGTTCTGTTCACCCGTGCACGCTTTAGCTACATGAAATATCGACACAATAAGGCCGGAGTGTGGGCGTTCCTGATATCCCTTCAACTTGCCCACTGTGCCTGTTAAGAGGCCTAGTAGAATCAGTGTCACAGCACCGATCGTATAAGATCTTTGGTATTTAGCTTTTCCCCAACCCTCCGGTAGCAACTACTTGGACGGAAATGGGGGGGGGACATGGGGTAATTTCCTTGCTCCTACGGATGTACGATACGATAAATTTGTTATGAATCTACTGTTTGCTGTAGATTTGTAAAAATAATCTACACATTGAACAAAGGAGTGACGTCACAGAAATAGTTTAATATGTGGGAGATTAAAAGATTCCATAGGAACAAGTTACTGCTTAAAATTACTGTCCTGTTGCTTTGATGGGCAGTTCCAAATTAGGGATACAAACTTATGTGGTAATGTACAGTTTCATTTTTTTGTATCACTTTGGGACTACTTTTATCTTTGTTGCATAATAGTCAGGCTTTTCCATGTCATTGTATTTAGAGAATAAAATGGGTTCACGGATCCAGAAAAGCTATCTTGTGACTAAAGCCAATTTCTATTAAACATAGCAATTAATGTATAGAAGTTTTTTCACATGACGTATAATGACACACAAAGACATGTCAGAAACTCAGAAAGCATACCATGTCCGTGGAGGCGCGTGCCTCTTCCAATCTCTGCATTTCTATCGAAAAATTCATGTATACCAGAATGTTGAGAGATGTCGAGGGTGCACACGTTGCTTCCCACGTCTGTGTAAATTGAACACTGACCGTCAAAAATCATGGGACTGAAAGTCCTCTGTACTATAGTGCTGCATTAGTGACACCGCAGTAGCAACAGATTCAGATGTAACCTTTTTATGTGAATGTACATTTTGAATGAAAAGAATGTATGCACATTGCCTATCATTGCGTAACATACTGAGGATATGTCATTGTACATGTTACAAACGCAAGTAATAAACGTTTTCATTCTGTGCATTTTATCCACAAGTCTATTATTAACTATATTTAAAACACTTTGGGAAATTATTAACTCGCACCCGTTTCAAGCACTTATTTGAAATGAAATCAGTGTTCCCTGAAATATTTGTAGTTTAGTTTTTTTGTTCATAAATATGGATTTCATCCTGATTCTGGAAATAAATTGCCTTTTGCCTTATTCACATTAACCCTCCTTTAGTTTTACAGCACAAATATGCACAAGTGCCCAAGGTTACTCTCTTGCATGTTGGTGCAGTGCACAACACGACACAGCTGTGCTTCTTTCAGGTGTTTACCAAGTGACCCAAAGAGTGACTTCAGCATAGGAGGGTCAATGGAAATGAAAGTATGAATTTTTTGAGAATTTTTTTTATCCCAATCGTCAGCCATCTTGCAGAGCCCATTATTATGGGCAGTTTTTCAGTATTTGCATATATTTGTGTATTTGGTTATATTTTCATACATTTGCAATCAACATGTATATATTTGGTGCCACTTTTGTCTCATTAAAATTAGACAGTAGATTTCCTTGGGACACGGGCAATTCACCGTAGTGCGCCTCCAAGAGTTGGCCAATCACAACGGGCGAAATTTGTCGACCCTTTCCAAACGCGCATTGGGTCGACAGATTTCGCGCATTGTGATTGGCTAATGCGTTGCAAACGGTTGGAGGCACGCTACTGGTTTGTTTTATAAACGCAGAAAGAGGCCAAGTTTAAAACCAAAACAAAGAAAACGTTACCAGCGGCAATGTTGTGCAAAAAATAATGCTTATGCCTGTTGCTTAACTCCTTTTACTCAGCAATCAATTTGTGAAGCAAAAGGTGATCCATAGAAATGTATAAAATGGGTCCCAGTACTAGAAATGTAAACACAGCGAGAACATAACTAATCTAATAATGCTGTTAATGATCTAATTCGTCTGGTTGTGCATTGTAATGTAGTTTAAAGCTTTTTTCTTCTATGCAATAATTTTAACTCCCTGAAAGAGAGAAGTGTGAATACATGTATACTTGTGTTATTTGCCGTTCTCTTACTTTGCTCTGTGTGTGTAACTCACCATAAATTGTTGAGTCCAATTCGTATTTCGTCATACCATGTTTTTTGTTTATGATATCGTATATTGTGGTGGTATTGTTGAATTGGGCATTTTAGGCAGAAGGAAACTTACATGTATGCTTGGCAAACAACTGGTTTCCAACCCAAATATCATGTAATTTGCACTACTACTGACTGGTCCCCGATGGTGTCATCCCAGCATAGATATTGGACACACAAACCCTTCTGCTTATGAGCAAGCTTGGCCATAGATCTGAGTCACTTCACGTCCGAGTTTTAATCCATAAGCCCCAATTTATCTCGAATCTAAGTTCGAGCCGTAGATCCGAGTCAGTTTTATAAGTCTGAATTTTGAGGCTCTTAGTTGAGTTCAAGATTTAGCAGGAAACTTTAAAGCTCTACGATTCGAGCCAGGTATTCTGATCGAGTTGTCTATTGAAGACTAAAGAGGTCAATAACTGCTCTGAATATTAAAGTCCCGAACCTTGCATGCTAAGTTAGTAGAAACAAAACAAAGGAAGTTCCTGGTCGTAAGGTTTGGATTTGGTTGTGACGACAGTTTTTTCAAATTACTAAAATGAAGTCGTAATTTGTAATACTTGATGTCTCATCCTTCCTCGCATTCAGTAGATGGTAAGGTAGCTACCAATTATTTTAGAAAAGTACTTTTCCAATATCGATTTTCACAACTCGTCCTGTTTAATAGAGAACATTGACTTGCTTTCATGTTTAGCTGTCACGTCGACTGTGCATATCGTTACATTTGCGTGGGCTTTGTTGTAACTTTCCATTGTGCAGCATCATGGGCACTTTCGTCCGTGTACTCTCTTATTGAAGTATATCTTACCTCTTGAGAGGCTATGCTTTTAGATTTTTCCGGATACCACCATTATCGACCCCCTGTGAATTCATTTATTGTAATTATATATATACGGTTTCTGTGAAATAATGTTGAAATTGAGAACATTAAAGATAAGTGTAATATGATTTCATGGTTTCAATTTGTGTGATGAGTGTTAAACTGTCGGCCCTCCCCCCTCGACCGACCTCATTTCCTCACCACGTATCCATGCCAAAAATAACTCTATGACGTGAAGAGGATTAAATGATTTCTGTCGGCACCATATTGCTGGATTTTAATATGGCTGACGCGAGCAATCTAGAAAAGAAAGATTCACAGAATTTCAATATCGGGAATTATGAGATGTATATCCGAAATTTGGTTTAATTTTGAATTACTTTGTGTATTTTGTTTCGTTCTTTGAGAGTGCATTTGGGGTTATGAGGGAGTTACTGACGTCCATGAAGATCGTGGGAAAATCGTTAGTATTAGGAAGTAACTAAAAATCTTTAGAATGCGACAGTATTGTTGAGCTTAAAAGACAAATTCACTGTCATAAAGTATCAAATTGACAGTGTGACGTGTTGTGGGTAATCCATATGTAATGACAAATGATACTATTTTTAGTACGAAGACCGGACGCCCACAATAACGTCCTCTCTCAAAAAATGTTGTCAAAAACAGCTCGCAAACATGTCAATTAAATTTTGGCTGGCAAAAAAGTATGGACAAAACAGTCTTGTGTCACTTGGGAGTGGCAGGATTTTACAAACCAAGCAGGTTCAGTATCCATCAAATGTCATAGGGGACACTCCTTTCAAGATTCAAGATTGTTCATCACCTGTGATGACAATAACAGGTTATCATTTGATGTCCAGGGAGGAAGCCAACAACCAGGAAGTTGTAATTAACACAAACCTTTCTAGCCACCTCTGTGATTAGCATTGTACAAGGACAAGGTCAGGATGTCTGTGACTGTAAATTCTTTCCGTGGAAACCCAATGAATAATCTGAACCTTCTCCACGGCCTGGCCCGATGCTTCATCAGGGTGATATAAAAAGGCTTGTGTCGAGAGTGCTTCAACTTGTTGACTTTCTTGTTCTGTGGCCTGGAATCAAACATCACTTCATCAAATGATACTCCACAGTCGCTTGGAACTGACATCAAATGTTTGTTGAAGCACGTGCTATCTGTACCCAATACGTAATCGCATCATTATCCTTTTATTGCGAGCAAGCTCTCGTGCAAAACAAACCGAACGATTATATTTGGACAGCCAGTTCTTGCTTTGCTCTAAGCCGTGGCTAACTGTTCACCGTTATGTGGGCCTCTCCAGTTCTGCGTCAGTGGGTGTAAGCTTCTTTGTCGCTTCATCGATCAAGAATGGAGGGAGGTCTTCTTTGAAGACACAGTGAATAACCACCGTGACAGCATGAATTCTATGGGCACCCGTTTAGTTCTTTTGTCAGCGGTCTCCAGTCTTGAATTGAAAAGGCATTGGAATAGCAACCGAAGATAAACTGTCGCGCAAGGGACATGATCTTGCGTAGCAACACCCAACAACACCAATAAAGTACGTTTTTTTCATCGACTCCGACAACAGAAAGAGGACTTCCTGTTGAAAAAGAATCTGCGAACTCCTTGATCTCATCGGAATGTGTTCAGAGTAGGTGAGGGGCAGATCTCTGACCAGATCTTCTCAGCCTTTCTCTATGGAACATGCAAAGATGTCCGGGCAGGGCCATTTAGCGTCCAAGCCAATCGGTAGCATGGTTGATATTGAGTGTCCGTCACACGTGGGTCAAGATAAAACAGAAAAGCGGGCAATTGTTCCAGCCAACAACGGCAATTTGAAAAGCAAACATGAGAGAAACCAAGTCCAAGAGGTGCAAGAAATATCGACAAACTCGTCTGATCCCCAAGGTAATGTGGATGTGGTTGAACAGTTGAAAAGCGAAAGCCAAGATAAAGTGATAGCGTCTAGCGCGGGAAAGCGCTTCAGAAACAGCAAAGTTCACCCCATGGAAACGTTATCAGTGACAGACTCAAGGGCTACTGGCTTGAGTGATGATGAAGACTCGAACGGGCTGAGCACTGTCGATTTATCGGCTTCAAAACGGCGGAGTTCTTCTCTCTGGACATCTCTTCGAGCAGCTGTCAATTTCAACTCAGCCTTCCTTGCCAAGAGAAGAGTCAAAAACACCACAAGAAGAGTGGATTCTTTCCTGGAGAAGTTTACCACTAGAGGCAGAGAGACCATTGGGTATGATGACCCAGAGAGCGGTACGAAAAACGGGGAGGAGTCCGAGATTGAAGAACCGAAAACTTACATTTTGGATCCCGATGGGAACTTCATATTTTACTGGCTTCTTGTGATTGCCATAGCTTTTGAGTACAATGTATGGTTTCTCATTGCTCGAGAGGCGTGGCCGGGATTACAAGAACAGGGAGGGGCGGCATGGTTCGTTTTAGATTACCTCTTCGATTTCATCTATCTCTTGGATATATGTGTCCAGTTACGTACCGGATTCCTCGACCATGGCATTCTGGTAAACGATGGGAAATGTATTGCAAGACACTACATGCGATCGCGGAGTTGTGCGCTGGATCTGATAGCATTGACCCCTTTAGATTTCCTGTACATCATAAACCCGTCCAGACTGCATACAATAGTTCGATTTCCTCGTCTCTTGAAGGCTTATCGACTAGTCACCTGGTATTACATGGCCGAGGCAAAGGCCACTCTACCGGCTGTCTTCCGGATTGCTAACATCTGTCATATTCTGTTGCTTCTTGTGCACTGGTTGGCTGCCTTATATTTCTTATTTTGCGAAAGGATTGGGTTCGGTAGCGGAGAATGGGTGTACCCAGATCCTGAGGGAGAATTCAATTCCACAGCCAGAATGTATCTCATGTCCTTCTACTGGTCTACGCAGACTTTGACATTAATCGGGGATGTCCCAATGCCATCCTCGGAATGGGAGTGAGTTTACAAATTCAAATATTTTGAAAGTCTTAGCTTTTACATCTCATAAAGCTATTACAACCTGAAATTTTCCCTTACGATCAGAGATTACATCTCCGTTCCAACATATTTGTTGAAGCCGATTTTAGGACATATGTAAAAACTTATTCATTAAACATGTACATACCGTAACTCCATCCCAGGCCTACATGAATTCTGTGTACATGAAGTCCTGGATATTTGCATGGTAACTTGTTACATTATTTACTTAAAACCGTTTCTTTATTTTTGTTTAATAGGTACGTCTTTCAAATAATCAGCTATCTCATTGGTGTCATTGTATTCGCTACAGTAGTCGGTAAGTCATCAACCTTAAATTGGGTTACATCCATTTAACATCAAGACCATATTCCCTTTCCTACCCCACTTTAATATGCATTAATTTCGGCTCAGGCGATCGTATTATGAATCTCGTGTTTGGGTATATCATTAGCATGCATCAGGGTATGGTCTCCAAGATGATGCAATATGCTGCATCATGAGGGTAGATAATGAAGAAATTTATTAAGGAATGTATATACGATCAAGTAGGCCTACATCCGCGCGCTCTTTGGAATTTCAAGTCTTGTCAGTTTCCTCATCTCTTTCCGTTTCTGCCTTTTACCGCGTTATATAGTACATATATTTGTCATATTTATATGAATGATCAGTGGCTGTTTCTTCATTTTTTGTCCAGGACAAGTTGGCATTGTGGTAGAAAATCGAAATTCATTGCGGTTGGAATTTGAAAGACACGTGGTAGGTTAATATTTGAATCTTATACAAAACGGATATGTAAGGCTCTTCCCTTACAATTAATTGTATCAATTTGATAGTCCTGTTATTTTCTTGTTTTTATTTCAGGACAATGCCAAGAAATACATGAGCACATATAAAGTCGCGAAAGATGTTCAAAACCGGGTCTTACTGTGGTATTTCTACTCATGGAAAAGGTAACGAGACAAAGTTTTCTCCAAAGAGAGAAAAGAAAACACAAAGTCCTTGACGCATAATGGATTTTACATTGCATTTTGTACAGTCGTTTCAGCATATGCTTCAACATAAAACATTTTTGTTTCCCTTCGAAAGGTCAAAAACAGATGTCAACAGTTTAGGGCCCTTACCAACAAAACTTAGAACAGAACTAGCAATCCATGTTCATCTGAAAACCCTTAGAAAGGTAAGATAAGTTTTATCCAAGAACAAACTTAATGTTCAATTACAAACTGAATTCCAAATGTATTAATTTTCGTGGTGCTCCATACATGTATGTCCCAACCCTATCTATTCAGTTGATGATATTTCAACAACATTTCAGGAGCAATTTTACAAAGTTCTGCGGTTTTTTCTCTCTGACTTTCCATCAGGTCAATATCTTTAGGGAATGTCCTCCTGAGTTTCTCCACGACCTCGTTCTCAAGATGCACACTTGTATCCATACTCCGGGTGATCTGGTTTGCCGCCGAGGGGAGGTGGCTCGGGAGATGTTTATCATTTCAGACGGTCTACTTGAAGTTGTTCGGTAAGTTAAAGAGACAATCTCCCGCTCATCAATAATGTAAAGTGATCAATTATAGATATATCATGCGGTTTAAGAATGTATAATTGGACAGTGATTCTGAATTATTGAGAGAGGCTTCATTGTCTGTTGAAAAGATGTTCAATACTTTGCGCAGACATTTGAAAGACGAAGTGTTACCTCAATGTTTTAGACTAAAACTTTTGTTTTGCTGTCGACAGACTTTACCTTTGAGCCATTTTTAATAATTTACTTTCATCAAAGTGGCTTGCTATTCACAGAAAAGAAGGGCATAGATGTTGCTAGGGAGGTGTGTGCTCCCAGAAAGTGCAAAGCTTCCAGGAGCGCAATTTGCATGAAATAACGAAAGATGAATTTGGTCTAGAACCAGTGGCATAAGTAGGGGGTCGGGCACCAGCGAATGTCCGTGGACCCCGGGTGCCCCCCTCCCCCCCATTGAAATCCATGAACAACCTCTGCTGCCGCTCATTGTCTTTTGGTGTCCCCTTGAAAGAAATGCCCCCGGACATAATAGCCCTAGTTACGCCACTGTCTAGAACCACCACAAATAATCAAGTATCAACAGGGTACCAGTGAAGATTATTGCCTAATCTGCTACCCCATAAAAGTCACATTCATGTCGAAAAAAAATCTTGAATACCTTATTCGAGTCATTACAAATCCTGTTGTTGGGTGGATTTATTGTAGATCAGATGGAGAGGTCCTTACAACTCTTCAACCGGGTGAATTCTTTGGTGAAATCGGCATCTTGAATCTTGGTGGAACTGCAAACAGGTAAAGGACGATCACTGTTGGGGGGGGTTCTGCCCCAGCAGAAGTCTGTTCCAACTGGTGCTCCTCTGAAATTTAAAAGCTTCGTACATGTACAAGCCACAGTTAATTTGCTTTCTGTTACCCCTCGAGAAATTGAGTGGCCCTGGTCACCCCACCCAGAAATTTCACCTTAGTTATGTTACCACAGTGAGGTAATTTTGATACGAAGTTTGTAATTACGCATTATGCCGGTAGCTTTTGATAGTCCATTTTGCATTGTATATTTATACCTGCAAATAACGGACACCTAAGGATTTAATTAGAGATCAAAAGCTGAAAGAACAAGGATGCATCATGTTTTGCACTTTGCACACACTGTAATTAATTAAGACAAGCCCTCCCATTCACGCCGTATAAATGGAATAGGCCTGAGCTTTGCAGGCAGGACATGTTGGAAGAAGAGAAGCTTAACAAGACAGTGCGGCAGCCCGATAGGCCCGAAAGGCTTTTACTTGATAGTAATCAATAACTTCCTGCATTGAAAATGAGTGCCACAATTGCCTTCTGTCGAGCTGATCGGTTGAAAATAATCGTCAGTTTTACATTGAGTTGAGTTGACTGAGTTGGATACTGTACATGGTCTTGACAACATTAGTTTGGACAGTCTAATTCATACGACAGGCTGAATGCGTCTTCTCTAGAATAAGAATGGATTTCCAGATCACTTTTTGACGTAAGCGAGGAATTGCCACATAGGTTTATTTCTGTAACATACTTCAGACGTCCTGACGGGCTGGCAGGCACGCCCCCCCCCATTCCCGGTGGCCCCTTATGCCCCCTCCCCCCACTAGTAAAATCCTGGCTACGTCACTAATCTTTACTCTAAACATGGAGTGAATGTTTGCACATTAAACATGTACTATGTATGCAAGCTGTTTACAGGGCAAAGATTTTTTGCATGCAGGGTTCACAAAATCCCTGTTTCGGAACCAAAGTCAACGCTTCTGTGTCATTTGATTACTACAGATGCTTGCTCTTGCAAGACATCGCCGGGTCTTGCAAAATCAAACAGTTGTAGTCTTATTTGCAATATGAGCTTTGTTTCTTGATGCAGGCGTACGGCCGACGTACGATCGGTGGGCTACTCTGAACTCTTCAAACTTTCCAAGGGAGATGTCTTGGACGCTTTGAGAGACTTCCCACAAGCTCAGGTCAGTGGAGAGGACCTGGTGAAAAACTGTCTTCAAAAATAAACAAATTATACAAGACTTCCTTCACCGTCACATATTTTGCTACGGAATTCTATGATTTATATTTAGATAAAATGTGTGCTATCAAATGTTAAAATGTTAATCTATTTTGGTCGGGTATTGCTTTACGCGTATATTTTCTCAAAGATGTAGGTCCTCTCTTGTTATGGAACTTCTACAACTAAGAAAGTCTAAGGAACTCTAAGCGATCAATTCACAAACGACGTTTAAAATAAAAACATTGTAGTACGTTACTCTATGCTGCATACATGTACATTATGTGACACCACGATACTGCTATGTTTCTGTCACAATGTAGGAGAAGCTGGAGGAGGAGGCTAGGCGACGATTAAGCATCAATCGCAAGTCTCCCTTACTGAAGGCTCGAGCTGTACGCGGATGGGATCCAAGCTGTACTGAAGCGTCAGATGCGGAGCGACTGGTTTCAAAGGCTACGGAGGGAAGGGAACAAGATCGACTTTTTGCAGCAAGGTACAAGTAACCTCATTACAAAACGCAATGACCTATAAGTGGGGTGAAATGATGTTAGGAGTAAGGTGAGGGTGTTGACTAGAGTTATCTTTTCCAGTCTTTGAACGATGCATGTGTAAAATTCCTATAGTTTCTGTAAAAATGTTACACAAATATTTCAAGGCGTACCCCCTCTTTATAGATGAAGCCACCTGTGATGTTTTGTTGGGTGGCTTGGGTGTTTAGCCCACCCTGTTAAAACAGCATTGACTCTTTTACCTCATGTTGTCCACTGTAGAAAACTGGAAACATGATTTATATACTGTTATTTCCAGTGCTAACACAAAGTGTCATATTTTGTGCTGTAGACATAACCCTGTCTCGTCTCCCGAAGCAAGTCCTTCTTTGCCCCGTGGAGACGCCACCCGCGATGAAAATTCGTTCCGCCCCCTGCTCTCGTCACGAGCGTGGAAACCTAAACCACCCGTCCCACTGAAACCATCTCGACGAAAGAGAGGCTCAAAAGGGAGTGTGAATTCGAAAGGAAATGAAGACGAGGCTTGGTTGGCAGATGTCATGTCAACTATTCGAGAAATGCTTGAGGAAAGACTGGTAATGACAACCTTCAATCGAGATGCCAAGGCTTGCAAGGTTGGGGTGGGGTTTTTTATGTACCCATCTTGCAGAGGGCGGATTTTTTTCCATAATTTTTTAATAAATAACTGAGTTAGGGGAATTTTTACCAATACCAAAGGCATTTGAAGCCCTCGTCTCCGATTTCCATCATTTAAAATTTGTTCACGTTTCAAAGAAAACGTTAAGAAGCTAAAGTTGACAATTTATTTTCATGTACAATTGAAGAAGTTTCAGAGGCTAATGTTTTCATTCCATTACTTTGAAAGAGCTTGTACAAAATAATCTTTAAAACCATATTCATTTCAACTATACCTAATCCAAGTAATCATGAAATGTAAACTACTCGAGTACGAACGCTTGTGGATTTTTTCACCAGCATTCGAGGGCATACACTGAGTGTATACAGTGTTAAATACATGTCGGGCAGGGCAAAAATGCGAAATGAATGTACATCTCCCTGGTGCAAATCCATCCTTGACATAAACCATACGACTTTTTCTTACAAACTATCATTATTTACTCCACAGGATCAGTGTAACAAGGAAAATCAACAACTGATTCATCGCATCAGGAAACTGGAAGAGGAGCTGAAGACGAAAGAGATAGAGAATGATCAGAAAGATATCGAAATTAAGAAACTCAAGGAGAAACTTGGCATACTAGAGGTAAGACAGGTCGGTTACCTGGACTCTTATTAAAAAAAAAGGAATCGGAAAGCCCTTGGAAAGCTTGTAGCAACAATGTCACTCCTAGTACGTATGCCGCACACGTGCACACTTCCTGAATGATAAAGACACAGTAATGTTTATAATGTGCTAACATTCAGTCTAATTCATTTCGCATGCACCAAAAAGAACATTTACAGAGCAGGAGTAAACAGGTACAGCCGACAAGTTTTTTTGTCTCATGTATGTCTAACTTTGGTCGTTCACAAGCTTAAACAATGCACAGTTCAGGCGAAGGGTAGGTTTTAGGTTTCAATGACGACCTAAAATAATTACCGATGAAAAAACTCAGTTGACAGTGAAGACGTTATTTACCCTCTTAGAGAGAAGTACTCAATGAGAATTTTTCACGTGAAAATTGATCGAATGATTAGTTTAAGAAATGATTGTGTTGTTTTCGGTTTCAGGACATCTTGAAAACTGGTGTTAAAGAGTGTTAGGACTGAATGACACCTGCAGCACCGGAGGAGTTTAGAGATGCAATGCAAACAAAACTATCGATCGAAGGACAAGAGAAAAAGGGCTTTCCTTGAGTATTGACTGTTGAGGAGCAACGACTCTGTCGTTCTGTTCAGGGCTTAAAGAAATGGCTTATCCTTTTGTATGTTTCCATCAAGTTTGTACGATACCCAACCCACTAATCACAACAACGTTCGAAGAGGCACGTTTTGAAGTTGTCTCTGCAGAAAGGAATGTCTCTCAGTCATCACTTCATGTATAGGCTAAGAGCATGTACCCTGATGTGGGCAAACTGGACTTAATATGCCCTTGGGCAGTGGTGTAACAAGGGTGACAATTGGGATCACTTGTAATTGCCAGTGGGCGCTGAAAAACAAATAAGCTGTGGCTTGTAGTTTCGCTTTTCCATTGTAAGGTCTCTGGCTGGGGGGGTTGGACGCGAAGCCGCAGACATCCACCGAACGCCCTGGTTATATACTCCCCTGAGTTACGCTGATATCCTGACTGTGCAATCGTGCATTTGTATCAATAGCAATATTATAATGTCGTATTGTATAGTTTTTAATGTTGTATGGCAAACTGGTTCCGAAGCTTTCAGTTGAAAGAAAACATCCAAGAAATTTTTTGAAGTCTAAACTAAACGAAACAATCTATCTGTCTTAAATTAATGTATTATATGTCGTATGCGAATTTATATTGACCACACTTTATTCACTTTGATAAACTTTATGCATTACGTTAAAAACAATAAAAATCTATTTTTCACTCTTCGCTATAGTCCATTACATCAGTTTCAGTAACAACCTACTCGACCTCCGCGAATCACTTAAGAGATGTCGCTCCAGTTGTTAATGCTGCTGACGGGGCAATATCACGAAGGGTAGTGGGATATCGGGACAGACGGGTGCCTTCGTTGCTCACCGTGAAAGGCTTTTACCTCCAGACAGTTAAAGTGATAAAGCCTTTAAAGGGAAGCACCTTAAAATCAAAGGAGGGTTCGACTTTGTTGGCGTTTGGGCAGCAGTTATAACTGACTCGTTGCGGTCAAAGTTGAATCACTGAACCTTGAAGTATTCATATAACAGCATCCGGGAAATCCGTGATAAGACTGGAATCTGGTATGGTGTTGATCCACTGTTATCCCTGTTTGTGTTTAGGACGGCGTCAGGAATTCTTCAATTTCATCCTGAGCCTCAACTTCATTGTTTGGGTAGGTGGTGATGTAGTATAATATCCTGATGATTGAGGGAGGAGGAAGCCACGCCCTCAGCCTCAACTTGATGTTACCAGAGACATAGAGGCTTAGTCTTGTATAGGAGATAGCCATGTCATTATCATTTGAGTGAGCAATTGTGGGCACTTTGATGAGAGATGTATCTTGAGATTTAGAGACTGGTGTGGTAGCTGCGCCCAGTACAGACGCTTATGTCATGATTGCCTCTGCGGTGACTACCATGCAAACTTTGCGGTGCTACCTTCACACAATCCCGTCACTTCCGTCTCATTCTCAGACGTTAGGGAATATGAGGTTTTGAAAACATGAAGGTGGTTGATATGGAGTCAGTGCCGATCAATGGATAGGAGGTTACGGCAAGAACTAGCGTGCTCACTAGGTTCCTGACTAAAAATAAGAATGACAAACAAAAACCTTTAAAACAAAGTGTAGTTTTTGGCAGGATTCTTTATATAACAGGAAGCAATTCCGGAAACTAGAATTAAAGGGGAAAAAATAAGTGTATGATTTAAAGTGCACTTATATAAACATTAACAATTGTCCTTAAAGCTTTTTCTCCGGAGTGGGGGCGCTGTTGCAGTGATGTAAATCAGGGAAGACATTGTTTGGTTTATATGTTTTGAACCCCCAAATTGGCTCTATGAAAGTAGTTTTCAGAAAAGGTTGTTCGCTGGCTTGGTATGTACTTACACAACAATAAATTGCCGATGAAATGGGGAAATTTACGACTGCATAACGGCATTTTCTGCAGATAAATTCAAAGCAACACAGAGAATCAGTGCCTCCGACGGCTTCATAGTTTTGTTCATGTAAATGCAAAGTTGCATTGGCAGAACCAAAATGCATCCGAATTACAGATTAAAAAGCAGAACAAAAATGGAAAGTGAGGTTGTTGATCCACTAAGGTGCAATTTCAAGGCTTGTCGTAAATGATCCCTTTCAAACTTCCAGTTGTAGGTCATTCACTTCTCTATTTCCATGGGTTAGTAAACTTTCCATCAAGACTACCCAGCTTATCGAAAACTTTCTGTGCAGACAAGATTATATTTAAATTTCTTTACTGATAATATATGGACTGTCAGAATCACAATGTATCGTTGATCCTCAGTCTCTCATAAAGATGAATTTTGCATTCAGCAATACAATTTTAGATCTAATTTCGGTCAGTTTCATAGCTCCTTATACCTAACCGCAAGTTTCCGTTGATCATGATTCCCTTCTCTTTGACAGATGCAAAGGGTTTTCCTTTCTCGTCTTTCTCAGCTCACATATGTATCTTTCATATAATTAAAAGAGAAGTATAGTTGTCCGGGAGAAAAGTTTGCCCTCATACCACAAACGCGCCCGCCCGTAAAGAACATTTAAACAAAACCTCCCATTCAACCCTTTAGAGAGGAATTACGCGTCTAGAAAAAATTTCAATGGTGACAAAAGGTGGAATATGACGCATCCTTGTTGGGTTTAATACCGCCCATAAGTGACAGCGGCGTTAATAAACATTATGGAATATACCCACCAACACAAACATCGTCATCTGCAATTCTCGTAACTGATTTGTTCTCAAGCTTCAAAAACAACTCCTAGTATCTCATCGATCTCTCCGGTGCAGCGCATATCGCGTTGTTTTCAATCTCCCCCCTCTGTTCCTCAACGTAGAGCGGTCTGATTCGCATTGACTTACCAACTACGACTCTTATACGATGGAGAAGTCTTTGTACATGAACCATGCACCAATCAAATGGAGCAATGCTTACACATCCAGAAAAGATTGAATTGTCCAAGCAGGAGTTTTACAGGTGAGTATAGTTCAATAAGAATTTGATTTATAGATTCTGTGTTATCTCTGATTTTCAAGTGTACAAAATATGATCAACAATTCACAATACAAATTAGAGGTGAAACCATGATTTCATCAGTAACTATTCCGCATTCTTTTGTAAATTTCAAATATGTTTTATGTATTTAAGCCTAATTTTTGTGAAATAATAAATCATTGAGGAGAAAAGCCAGACTAAACAGTTTGTGATCCATATTCATCATGAAGATATTCCAAACGCTGATCACCATTTCATAATTCATAGTAAAATTTTCATTTTAAATAATCCTCAAAGTTTGAGAAGTAAGCCAACTGAAAGTAACGTTATTACGAAAAAGAAAAGAAAACAGATGTTACTACCAACGGCACACAAGGTTCGCAAATCTTTAGAAAATCACGATGGCAATAACATCGTCATTTGGAAAAAGCAAAGTTATTCTTATTGAGGTTCAATTAGGATACAGTCCCATCCTCTTTGAAGAGCGATCAATAGCGCCCTCTCGTAATCCTTGCTTCTTGCTGCGGTGTCTACGCAAGATAGTCCAGCACATCCCGAGTTGATCCCTTCTTATACTCCAAGTTAGTTTGGACTATCGAGTATCCTCATGGTAAGCGCGTACGCAAATACTCAATTAGTTTACATTAAGTACAAACAAGGAGGCTTATTCAACGAGTTCAATTTTATGTCATTATGTTTCGGCTTGTGTCAACAGCGTTCCAGATTGCTCACCCGTACAAGTACGTCTTCAAATCCATCCTTACATTCAAGTCCAAACATACTCAAGATTAGTACCCCGACCCACATCAGTTGTCGCAATTACTTGGATTCCAGTTGTGCGTAACTACCTCACAAACATCAGTAATAATGTCACGTATGGTCAGGCTCAATAGTTAGGCTCTTTGCCGGGCAGACGGTGCAGTGTTTGATCATGCAAATTTATCGATATGTTGAAGTAATTCCCATGTACTTCCATGGTTACGGATTCCTATAAATTAACTGGAAAAATAAAGACTGGGTGTGTTCAGTGAAAACCCATGGAGTCGGGCAGGAGACATATTGGTCGAAATTGGGTTCGAACTAGGATCAATAAAATGAAACAAAGTGCACGAGGAAACAGTCCACCAAATAGTCCGAGGTTCAATAGTCATGCAAGGGCGGATCCTGCACCAAATTTTGGGGCGTCAATTTTTTTGGGGGGAGGGGTTAAATTTTGGAATTTGTTAAGCAACCTTTATGGTCTTTTTGAAGGGTAAGGCTAATTTCTGACGAATTTTTGTTTTTGTTTTTGATCCACGTGCACCCCTGGAACCTTCGGAGTTTGGACGAAACGATTGGAATCGGTACCATGCCTTCCGTTGGACTTTCGACAGGAACCCAGGGCCAGCACCAGTGCACCTTATAAATAGTAGGTTACATTACTCTATACTAACGGCTTAATAATTCATGACGCTGCAAATCACCTGCCTTTCTTCGGCTAGCCTATACTCAAATTCGTTGATACCCAGTAAGCACATTGCACGCAGTTGCTGCCTCAAGGCATTGACAATATAGCTCAACACATTGGAAACACGAATTTCATAATCATGCGGTTTCATTACGCTAATTAATGGCAAGATTCTTCCTGAAATAATAAAAAAATTCATGTTGTGTACGGATTTCAAGATCCTAATTGGCTCAGCTCTCCGACTTCAGTCTATACTTTGCCTTTGCCGACAGCAAATGCCTTGAAATTGATTTCGGCTCGCTGGTTGGCATTTCTGAAGATAAGACCAGTGTAGCTTGGAGCGATCCGGATGTTGAAAGTGATTTTGTGATTGTTTTCACGCTTTATTTCTTTCTATCAAAGCCTGCAGACATGAGACTGGATCCCCACGCTTCACTCACTAAATCTCAACCACTGGCTGTACGAAAAGCACATATCAATCAGGAATGTGATCATACAAATAAAGTACAACCTAATCCCTCGGACTCGAAAATACAGTAATTCCTTTATTACCTTATTTTACAGAGAGCAGTGACTGAACAGTGAGTTTATATCCTTAGTAGATTCGAGACAGAAGAATTTATCTAAACGAACGTTCAAGGAGCCGGTTGGGAGACTTTCCTCCTTTCAGAATAGTGTAGGTTTGTATACAAACTAGATTCAGACTAACACCTGTAAATCAGACCTACGTTTTACAGATGAAGAGATCCCGATTAAATAAACGTCTCGTAACAACTGGAAGGCCATCTCGCTCCTTAAAATGGATCCAAACAGACCCACTGCAGCTGGCCTTGGTCAAGGCGGACTGGTCGATATAGCAAGGGTAGAAGGAAAACAAATTTCTCCACCGTGAGCCAGCCAATTCCTTGGGTGAATGATGCACGGAACTTGGGACACGGTAAGTAGCTTCATCGCCTGAAAATTGCGTTCGTAAGCAAGAAATTATCCGTTCCCATGCTAATCACGTAATTTTGAACACTTAAATAAAAAATATTAAGGGGGGCTTCAGATCTTTCACTTCCTAATATTTAAAACCAGAACGATGCAGTCACCTTTTATTTTCACAATCAAGCTAACGATTACTGTGACCATTGTCGAGTACCCAAAGCCTTGTCAGCAACTGAAAAAAAAATTATCACGTCAAAGCGGTCAAAGCGTTCAAAGCGTTCAAAGCACTGTACATCACCAACAGGAAAGCACTTCATATTTAGCGAGGAGCGAGCCAACGATCAAGTTCTCATCTCGATAATGGTACATAGGCCCCTCAGCAGTTCACGTATGACTAAATCCTTGAAGCACTAACGTAGGCGGAGACGGCAAACTGCCTGGCTCTAGCCTTGTTATACAACTCCTATTCGTGGATGATTAACTGCACGTCGAATACCAGGCTATGGTGTCCTAAGAGCTGTTTTAATTAAATGTTTGCCGTAAATTGATGGGCGTTTAAGGCTAAACAAACCTCTGGGAACAACGGGGATTTCCGTAAGAGCAGGAACCATAAAAATAAAATCTCCAAATCAAAAACTTCTATTTATTATCTTATACGTCAATTTATTTATCAAATTTGCACGTTAAATTGAGTACTTACTTCATTTCAAAAGCTAATTTATTAGAAAATTAAGATGAACAATTTTAAATGAATTGTCTTTCGTGATAACCGCTTCTTCCATAATAATCACGGCTAAAATCGACAATTTTTCTTAAATTGCTACTACTGAGCTTGTCTTTAAGAAGTTGATATGTATACAATTCATATCTTTTGCCGAAAATGAACATAAGCGAATGTAAAATCAAATATCTGCTTAAAAGATAAGCATCACATTAACACCTTTCCTAAGTAGGTTTAACATAAACCCTCAGAATTAAGTGTTCTTTCTCAACTTGAGTAAATTCTATAATCATGGCCTTGAAAGATTTTTTTTCAAAGGGAAGGACATTTCAACCGGGTAAGCTTTCACGAGCCATGGAGACTAGTCTCTCAGTCCTACATTGGAACAGGGGAGTTTTCACGAGGGACTAGCTGGATGAAGACCAGTCTCTACTCAGGAACCATTTTCCCGTAGGAAAGAATGTGGGTATCCCCAGAAAGTTGCGGGGGGAAAAAGCACGCGGGCGCTTTTCTTCCGAAAGTGTTTTACTTAAGCCTTAGTAGCAGTCTTACAAGAAGACGTATCGATTGACGAAAAAGACGAGATGAGGAAAAGATAACCTATAGCCGTGTACAACTTGTGTCAAGTTCTGCTAAATCGATAAACCTGACGCACGCTTGCTAGTTAGAAATTTCAAGGAAGATTGTAGAGATGTAAACAAACGGAACGCTTTATATACATGCAATTGCAACCAGCAGGGTAGACAATGACTTTTTACGGTTTAATTAAAATTTACACCTGGGATTGCTTTCAGAGGAACAGGTAAAGTCCAGATATTATCTTCGCTGTTTTATGTCGTAATTCAACATGTAAAGCAACCCCACTTTAGAGTCTCTAGACCAGGCTTTGCAAAGCACGAAGCCAGGCTGTTGTTGATTGTCGCAAAATAGCAATTTGCCCCTTAAGGTTTGGTTTTGGAATTTCAGTGTCACAACAAAGCCCACACAATATTAATAATGCGAAGCACCTCGAACCCTGTCTGAATTGATTCTGTGATGGGCCAGCAGATGCTGCTTAGATTTAATGACTATTTTAAACTTGAAAAAGGTTGATAAACTCCATGTTTACAATCCTACCGCTCTCAATGATTTCTGGTGCTACAACTGATGTAAAAGGCCCTTGATATTGTATAAATATTTAGATACTGGAGAAACATACACCTTGTAAGACGTCTCCATTAATCATCAGCGATGATAAAGAGTTTTACTCTATGCAGGCAGTCACTTATATACTGTGTGACCAAATGTGTTCGAAGTGGCTTAAAACTGTTATTTCTGATCTCCAAATAAATTTTATAAAATGCCAAGCATTGGCTTATATTGTGATCTCGGTATTTGTGGTAGAAAGCTGTACTTTTTTACCAGAAATACTTTCATTATACACTACAAGCGAAGACATTCACGGAAACCGAACTGTTAAGTTTTTCATTTCCTTAAATCGTGGTATAGCCTATTTAGTACCACGAGGTTGCAACATACACCCGATGACACGTTATTATCATAAAATTTCGAAAAATAAGTTTATTTAAAGTGTTAAACTCAACACTGGAAGGGTAAATATGTTACTGCTGGTGCTCACATTTATTAATATCAACACCCGTTGCAATGGTGAAATTTAAAAATTCTAATTTTTCACTTAGTGTGGAACGAGAACTACTGAGCCCTCTCGCCACCAATAATTCGATCGAATTATGTCTACAGACAACATCTTTATCATGGAATGGCGGTACGTGGCTGGAAAACGAGTCTCCTATACGAGACTGAAGTGAAAACTTCATGACTTTAGTCTCAAAGTTTGATCTCGACTTCAAGTAAAAGCTTGTTAACAACCTAAAATTTATTTTACCGCACGCAAACAGCGATGTTCACCATGATAACATTCAGACAAAGTATCTTTTTATCGGGAATATAGTTTACTATCATGCTTCTGTAAATAACTTAGAGTCTTTTATTGATGCTCTTCTACGAAGTCCAAACAACGAGAAAGCGTGATGTCTCATAGAGGCACTCCTGAAGACATAGACATACGGGTTGAAAGCGCTGCTTGAGAGGGCTAGCCACAGAGGAAGCCACTCCCAAAAGGAACTGACGTGTTTGTCAAAAGCTGCCTCTACAAAACCAACCACGTAGTAGGGTAACCAGGAAACAACGAAACTAAACATGACCATTAGGGTCGTCTGAGCAGTCCTCCATTCGTCCCCAATGTGGACTCGTAGAATTTTCTTGATGCCACCGCTGGTGAAGGTTCGCGGTCTCTTGACAGGGTCAGTGTTAGAGCAACTGCTAGTCTCATCGGAGGATGGGACACGGAACCATCGATGACGATCTCTAGCTATGAGGTTCCTTGCTGCAAAATACATGCGACCGTACATTGTAGCTATTAAGATCAGAGGAACAGCAAATCCACCTACCATAAGATAGATCTCGTAGCTATTGCCAGAAGTCTTATCGTGTCCTGGTACTGCAGCTGTGCAGATAAATCGATGGTGATGATAGGAGATGTAATTCCAACCAAGAACAGGGGGAAGTGCTAAGGCCAAGGCCATGATCCATACTACTAACATCATCATTGCAGCCCGCCTTGTTGTCATGTAGATGTAGTAACGTAAAGGTAGCATAACAGCAACGTAGCGATCCACTGTGATCATGACTAGAGTGAAAATAATAGCTGCAAAGAGAAGTACATTCAAGAATCCAGTGATGGTGCAACTTTGATCTGTAAGCATCCAGTCTGTAGACACGACTGATATCGAAACAGGTGGCATGACAACAGCACACATGAGGAAGTTACACACAGCCAGATGGAGCACAAATCGGTTGGAAACTGACAACAAAGATGGTTTTCTGATGAATACAAGGAAAATCACTCCGTTGCCAAGGAAAGCGGCGATCAGTATCACCAGTAAAGATGAAATTTGGAAGATTGTGATAGCGGCAGAATCGGCGGTCTGGATAGGACTTGCTGCCGACGAGGTTGCATTCGAGGGTTGTAAACTTGTTGAAGACATGCTTGCAAATGGAGAGAACTCTAGACGTGTGTTTGCGAGTAATCCCATCTGCATTTGTCAGATTTAATGCACGCTGCATCTGAGCCGCCCACTTAAAGCCAAGGGGTGATGCAAACAAAATATCACACGTTGGCGTTCTCATGGAGGAGACCTGGGAGATATACCCAAGCCTGTTCACTTCAGCCAGAAAGAGCACTCAAGGACCTGACGGTAACAATCCCAGACAAGCCGGTTTATGGCTGAGATGCCTCAGGCACATATCGGGGATCATGGTTATCATCCCAAAGGAAGATTTCCTGCAAACAGGACAAAAACCGGGATGGAATTAGTCTACCGTAATGCAGACGGCAACTTCAGCATTAAACTCACCAGAGAGCCAGTGAAATGGGCATTAACTTGGTAATATACGTAAAAAAAGTGAACCCACAGCGCATTTAATGTCAGCTCCCACGTGCAAGAGAGAACATAATGTATTACACACGTACGCCCAGAAAAGTTTAATAAAAACAGAATTGACTTGCTAATGTCCAAACAAAGCATTGATTCAAAGCCAATGAAAGCCATCAATCTAGGTATTCACGCCCCCGAGATGTGGAATAAACTTGTCGATCAATCAAGCAAATCTTCTCAGACCAATACTTGGGTATACACACGTGTGCTGGTTCTCAGCGGTTGAGTGAGTGCACGCACTGAACCGCTGGTCCTCCAACCACGCGATCTTTCAAAATGTTTTCCCTTTTAGTGGAATTTTTTTCTCAACGCAAATGCATGGCATCGACACGGACACTACAGCCTTAATTTTCTCACAAAATGTCTTTTTAACGGCGGTAAGGTTGTGGAAGGTGCAACACTTCCACTGATGAAGGTGCTACAGTACATATATTGTTAATAAATGAAATGAAAGTCAGGATTTTATTCCTGGAGTTTATTGCCTTTATTAACATGTTATATATGAGGTCAGAATAACTTTTGAGAGAAGGTATCGAGATTTTGTTTTGAACGGAATGAAATTTTCCAGTTTTGATTAAGGGAAGGCCTTGTTAATATAGGTTTTCCTGGCTATTCATTTTGTTGAAAATTTCATTCCAATTCAGCAATTCCAATATTAAAACCCATCCAAGACGGTTTTCCATGCTTTTTGAGAAACCCGTTAAGTCCTTTAATATTCAATGTCAAATTCTGGCAGCCACATTTAAACATTGCGTTGAGAATATTCATTACAAACAAACTTCGTCCGTAGAGTGGCATCATTTAGAGACTGATATCAATCACTTTTATACTACATTAGTCTTGTTTGTGCTTAAGCATTTTCAACTTGTCCTCCAGCACAAGTTGGAGCAATTATTAGCATGTTATGAAATCAAGTGTGTGCCAAGCTACGAGTATTGCAGAAATAAATTTGTTGCTATGTATGCTGGAGGCTAAAGAACATGTAATAAACTCGCTCATAGGTAACAATCAAAAAAGTAAAACATCAAGTTTTTTAAATTCAAAATAAGGGAAAAAATAAAAACTAAAATATGTTAAAAACTGGCACAGCCCTCAACCTCCTTTGTTATACTAATTTGTGCCGAGAACGAGTGTCACACACTTTTAATGAACATTAGTAGAAAGAAGCAAACAAAATAATACCGAAAGAAAAGATTAACAGTGGAAGCTATCGTGATCTGCCACTTTTATGCCCATCTCTGAGAACGTCATAATAAAGTTTACGAAATTGGACAAAGAAAGTCGATGTTACATTGTGTGATAAAAGATTGGTCTCTAAATAACAAGTCTATTCGCAGACAAAATGATATTGAATACATGTAGTCTTCCCCCAAATAAAATATAGTGCTTATGGTTTGAATTCCATTGTACAACATTTGAAATTGAATGTCTATGATGAAAATAAACATTGTAAGTGCACTAAATCAATTCTATACTGGAGAACTGTAAAATACAAATCTGCAAACGTGAATGAAAAAATGTAAAAAAAAGCCGGGGAAACCTAGAATGGCGTAGCTGTATTGGTTTCAAAGCACCAAACTGAACAACGTATAGCCACAGCAAATATGAATTCATGCTTGATCGAAACACCTGATAATTTTTAGTTACATTATTGCATGCAGTTGAATCGTACAATACGTTATTCCATGACTCACTGTATCTATACAGAATCCTCCCTACATTGGGAGCTATATGACCTTTTTAAAATTGATGTTTGATCTAATAAACTAAAAACAAATGGGAATTCTCCAGATATTGATCAAAGTACAACAATCGAATCAGCAGTGATTTAATATTGAATGATCAGTAAATAAGGAGAACAAAAACCTCTGGAAAATACTACAAATGGAAGTAAAAACTGGTCTGGACAACCGTTATTATGTACCTAACAAAATAGCACATGCTGTTGGGGGAACAACCCTGATGTCAGTTAATTGTTTCAGTCAGTATACGGAAGGGTAAAGTATCTTGACTATGGCACACGCCTAGCATAAAAAAATTGGATCACTGCCACTTTCACTCAAAAACTTGAGAAACTAACTGTAAAAGTTGATTAAGTTAAGAAAAAAGTCCACGTTCTTAAGAGCCACACCTTATTCCGTGAATGTTCTTATCACGTACTACTATATATGATGAATTATAAAGACAGTATCTTCATGGTACCTGATTCCTGCACTGTAGTAATATATACACATTCTCGTGTCCTGCGAGTTTGAGGGGTGCTTGATAGATCTATTCTCCCCC